ACCCCTCCCTCACCCCCTCCCTCTCTCCTCCCTTCGTGCGCCCGCGCAGCCCTCAGCCTTCCCACGGCCCTTGATGAGTTTACCTCCCTTCCGTCCAGGCGGGCGTCCCGGGCGTTCCAGACATGATCCACAGGGGATTAAAAGACGAGGCGTTCCAGGAGGCGGGGCGGGGCCGCTGGCCTGGCGCGGACTGAAGCACTAAAGCTCGTCTGAGCCGAGTCAGTCTTGGCTTCGCGTCGTGCTGAGCCCCGCCCCGTCCTCCCGTGAGCGTCCCTCAACAATTACACACAAAAGACACACCCCCTCCCCTCCATCCCTCTCTCATGTTTATTTGGAGAGGTTTGCAGGACGTCGAGGAGAGAAGTCACTTGGCAAGTAAACAGAACGCAAACCGCTGCTGTGGCGGGCGCCGACAACAGCGGTGTCCTGGAACAACGCCGCGTTGTCTCCTCTCTTCTTTCATTCCGCGAAACAACTTAACGTTCTGGGCATGTAATGTGTGTTTTGTTTTGCTTTTGTTTTTCGGTTGCCAAAAGACGATTCTCGGGATCTGTTGCTCTCCCGTCCCATATACCTGACTGTAACAAGTGATGTTCATTACCCATCACTTACGCCTAGGTACGTATCTCCACCCCGCAGCCCGGGCCTCCGCTCCCCTCTCCGCTCTCTCCATGGGGACGTGATGGCCCGGCCCGGGAGGGCCTCCCATGTCGAGCGGAGCACGGCGGAGCACAGGCGCCCTTACCTATCGCTATTACCGTCCATCCCCGGGCCTAATTGGAACGCATCATGCCCCCCACCCACCTCCTCCTCCTCCTCCCTCCCTTACCCCCCTCCTCCTCCCCCTACTCGGGATGGAACGGAGCCTCTTTACCTGAATAGTATTAGTGGATGTAATGAAGCACGGCAGAGAGGGAGGGTGAGGCACGCCGGGGGAGAATCACCACAAGAGTACGCGAGGAACTTTGGGGCGTGGAGTTTGATTCAGATGCTCTGGGCCTCCCTCCGTGTCTGTCCGTCTGTCTGTCGCTGTCCCTAACCTCCTCCTGTCCGTCTGTCTGTCCGCAGCGCCGCCTGTGCGGCCGGTACCGGGTGCGCGCGGACGTGGCGCTGTCGCGGCTGCTGCTGGTGGACGCTCGCTCGGGCCGCCTCGTCTCGCGGTGCGGGCGGGAGCGCCTGCTCGCCGACCCCAAGGGCCTCTCCTTCCCCTGGCCCGCGCGGCCCCTGCCGCAGGTGCTGGCCGAGGCCTCGCTGCAGCAGCCCGCCGCCGGCGCCGCGGCCTCGGCCCCCGCCCACGGCCGGGCCCTGCTCGACGAGCTGCGGGCCGCGGCGCCCGCCGCCGGCGTGGTCGGCGTCTACTTCTCCGCGCACTGGGTGAGTATGGAAAGGAACCACCATACAGCGTCAATCCTACACGGAAAAAGAGATTTTGTTCCTCCGCAGCTATCAATTTTGTTAACATATACAGAACAAACAATTTTAGTTGCAGGAGCAAACAATTTGCTATGGGAAGCAAAATTCTACTGCCACAACTAACGCGTCGCTGTGGTAACAATTGCGTTTGTTGTAAGAAAAAATTCTTATTTAGTAACTAGAACAGTTGCTTTTGTTACCCAAGCGACGCGTTAGTTGTGGTAGCAGAATTTCGGTTCCCTTAGCAATTTGTTTGTTCCTGCAACTAAAAACTATCCGTTATGTCTATGTTATCAAAATCGTTAGTTGTGGGAACAAATTCTTTTCTTCCGTGTAGTGATCATTTCAAATGTAAGGCAGTGCGTTGACCGTATGGCTGGCGTCATCAACAATTACTCACTGACCTCTTGCCGCCTGTATGTCCGGCAGTGCCCGCCTTGCAAGGCCTTCACCCCGCAGCTCGTCAGGACCTACAACGCTGTCCGTGAGCGAGGGATCAGCTTCGAGGTTATCTTCGTTAGCTCCGACAGGTCAGTATCTGCGAGGCGGTTCGCGACATTACCTCCTTGTTTATCCTTCTGTTTATCTTCCCCCCGCTCGCCATTCCCAACGTTCCCCGGGACGTGAAAGTCTATTCACTTTTGTTCGGAACAGAAATAGAGGGGGATAGAGGAGGGCGGCGCTCGGGATGTGCGGATGAGGGGTAGTGGCGCGGAGGGGGCCACGCTCAGCACCTTCAACTTCGTTATAACGGTCATCTGTTCTGTCCGTGCCGCTATCGGAAGGGACAAGGGCCGACGGCCGAGGGTGGGGGCGCTGGGGAAGGTTCAATCGTAACGCTTGGTGTCCGCCCCACCCCGCCCCACCCCTCATTCTGATTTGCATATACACGCCCGCTATAGCGGGCTCTGGCTCAGGACCTGCTGCACCTGCCTAGGAGGCACCTG